GCCCCAAATTCACCTGACCTTAACCCAATAGAGCATTTGTGGTGCTACTTGGAAAACCAAATTCGTGCTGCCACGCTACCCCCTCGCAATGTGAGGGAATTGCAGGACCAGTTGGTGGGCGCTTGGTACCAGATACCTCAGACTACCTATCAGCACCTTGAGGAATCAATGCCACGGAGGGTGCTAGCAGTTTTGAGGGCTAAAGGTGGTCCTATATGTTATTAGCAGGGTGGTCATAATGTAATGGCTTTTCGGTGTATTTCACTATAGTGTAGCATTCAAGAATCTTGTTCCAAAGTCAGCTAAAAATTAAAAAAAAAGATGTTAAACTGTTCTTGAATTTTAATGTGTATTTTCGAATGACTGCTCAATTGTAACAAGCAATACACTCAGTACAATCACAAAACATAGTTACTGGGAAATGTCAGTTTTGAAATTACTTTAATACGGTATTCTTTAATTTGTGTTAGAGTAAAAACTTTAAAATATCTACTGCAATTGATCGTAATTTTATTGTGACATATAATTTTTCTGCACTAATAATATGAATTTATTAAAAAGAATTTTGCAATTAAACATTCAGTTTTACTTTCAGATGACATTATTTTGCTTATTCTTACAATGACGCTTAAATGTTAAGTGGTTCAAAAATCATTAGCAAACAGAGGCAATTTTTTTTCCAAACTTACTTTAGTCACTTATTTTAATGGCCTACATAGCAAAAAATAATTTTTAAAGATAATTATTTTAATTTCCTTTTTTTATCATGATTAAAATATTGCCTTGATCTAGATACTATAGCGAATCTTATGTAAAGATATTCTTGCAAATGATATTTCTTTTCTAATGTTAAATACTTATGTTTGCATAAAAATTTCAGTTCATTTTCTCTTCTCTGATACTAAGATGCAAGCTATCAATTTAGATTAGATTTTTGTTGGTAACGACCAATGAAATAACACTTGCTATTATAGTATTATATATGCATATAATACTTAATTTAATATAAATTATATGACGCTTTAGTCAAAATGAATTATTTAATTTTAGGTCGTATTTTTATGCATATTTCCATTTAAGCTTGTTTGAAATAAATGTAAATTGGTAAATTATTAAATGTAATGTTTTTTTTATTTTTTATTTTTTATATTTTTTTACATGTCCGTCGTTGAACAGCTGACCCAACTTTTGGGTTTACGACTACTAATGTTCAATTCCGTAGCCTTGTAGTTTTGAACCCAATACAGAAGACAAGAAAACTCCTGGATCAGTACCCCCAGAGGTATTGATTTGATATGTGTCACATATACACTTAATGTGATGTGACAATTTTATTTCTAATTTTACTTAAGCCTTTAATTTTTCTTTAAACGCTATTCCTTTTTTTTAAATTTAGCAATCTTTTATTACTTTCTTGTTGACCTTTCTCATGGTCATTGCGGTCATTGCACTTCCTGTGGAGAAAGTCAGCCAACCCCTCTATTCACGCCTTTCTTTTTCTTCTTTTAATTTTAGGGGGGCTAACTAACCAATCTCTTTCCTTAAAATTTCAAACTCTCCGCCTCTTTAAATTTAATTAGTCGTAATTTTTCTGGTCCTATACCAGTTAAGGAATTTTTAAGTCACTTTTTTAAATACATTCTTTTTTTCTCGAGCCTTCGGGCAGGTTACCCTTTTTTCTCCGAGATGCGGACTTCGGTCCGTATCGAGGGATTTCTTTTTGCATTTTCCTAACCTTTATTTTAAATTAAATCCATAGCTGTAATAAATTTCTGTAAAATTTAAAATCAACATTTTATACCTTTAATTTTCTTTAACATTAAAAGCCCTCTCAAATTTAAGTTTTCTTCTCATATTTATTTTAATGGTTAAATTACTCGTTCCTTTATATTTAACTTTTTGCATGACGCCTTTGGTTTCTTTAAATTCTCTTGTCACCCATTTCCTTTTAAAAGATATTTTTTTTTGTGCCACAAAATATGTTGAAATCATATTGTTTGTTTGTTACGAAATGATCAAAATAAGTAGTTTTACAAAAATAAATGTTTAGTTGAACAGAAAGTTCTGTGTGATTGTGTTTTTTAGCTTTACCTTTATAGCTATTAGTTATCACCCTTTTTCCCTCTGTATGTGGTGAGTACCTTTTTTTATTGTTATGGGCATGCATAAATGTGAATTTATTAGTTTTTCTTATTGGAAACATCAGCTTACTGTATTAAATCATATATATTGTTTGGATATAGCATGACTTTATCGTTTTTTATCTTTAATCTTAAATTTATTTTTAGTTTCGTCCCTTTTCCAAATTTGGTGATACCAAATTTTCCAATTTGTTCAAACCTCACACTTTCTGACCCTTTGAACCTATTGGGTTATTGTTATCCCACAAATGCATTGTACAATCACTTTCCTTAACGATCACATCCCCCTTAATTTTATAATTACCCTTTCATATGTTTCGGCCTTTAATATATTCATCATGACATTTCAATCATTTAATTGTTTTTTTATCATGACTATATCCAAATACAAGTACTTTACCAATGATTCCTACCCATCCATTTTAATAATAATATATAAATAATGTTACTTTATATGCACCAAAAATTATTTTAATTAAACTTTTACATTATGGGAACATGGAGGACTTTGCGACTCAACGGATTTAACGCGCATCAGTCACCATATACTAAACAGGGAGTCTTCGGCCGGCGGGGATCGAACCCGCGAACTCTTGGACAAGGGCTCAGTGCCTTACCGACCAGGCTACCCCGGCCTTAAACTTATTGTTCGAAAAAAGCAATTAAATAATTTATTTCCATTCCCTAAAAGCTTTAATTTTTTAAAACAACCTTTTATATGGATTAGAGATTCTACCTTTTGCACGCTATTGCTCACCAACCCATAGAGCTGCCAACTAATTTCTTTTTAAATAGTTCACTCGCTGTTACTTCATCAGAGCCTCCGCCTCTGAAGACTCTCGTTTGTCTTGTAAAAACACTTTATTTTTCAAATTATTTAACAATTTGAATAAATTAATGAAAATATAATCGAATAATGTATAAATAATGAAAATATAGATGTTAGTATGATATAAATTTCATTTTTTTATAAATAACATATTTTCCAAAAAAATATAATTTAAAATAATTACATTTAAAAAAATATTTAAAATCTGAATTTATTCTCTTATAAACCTGAAACAATTATTTAAACTTTGAATTTATTCTCTTATAAACCTGAAACAATTATTTAAACTGTGAATTTATTCTTTTATAAACCTGAAACAATTATTTAAACTATGAATTTATTCTTTTATAAACCTGAAACAATTATTTAAACTATGAATTAATTCTTTTATAAACCTGTTAGTTCAGATACCATATTTTATTTTATTTTATAACCGGCGTTAAAGAGTCGACCCGATTCTGAGTTTGCGACAATCAATATTCAACTCCGTAGCCTTGTAGTTTTGAACTCAACCCAGAAGTCAAGAAAACTCCTGGATCAAGCCTTGAGACAAACTTACCTTCGTGGATTACTTTTTTCACTGAAACTAACTGTCATTTGCGTTACATGTAGACGAAAACCGCGAAAACCACTTATGATTAGCCCGATGGCAAGGGGATTCTAACCCATGATCCATCTACCACTGAGAATATTTTGCGTCAGCAGTGTGGTCGGTGCGATCCACCAGCTACCACGTCTGAAGTTGCTTGCATCTCCCCGAAACTACTCACTCCGGGCCGGGATACCCTGGTCGGTAGGGCACTGGGCCCGTGTCCGAGAGTTCGTGGGTTCGAACCCCGCCGGCTGAAGACTGTAAATGGTGACAGGTGCACGTTAAATCTGTCGAGTCTCAAAGCCCTCCATGTTCCCGTAACAAATCAATACCTCTGGGGGTACTGGATTGGAGATCGATCGTTCTCTGATTCAGGTCAAAATTACGATATGTGGATGAATGGATAGATGTATGAATGGGCTCGCCCTATAAAACGGGATGTGACGTGTGTGTGACTGAGGACGAATTCTTGACCATAGGATGGCGCCACTGAAAAAACAAGAAACGCACACTTTGCCTTAAATTTGCTCGGTTCCACCAAGCAGGCTAGTCCATGCGGCAGTTGGGATTAGAAACAACAACAACACTACTCACTCACATCATTTTAATCACTCTTACTACTTTGGTCTAGTTTAGAATCACACATTTCACACTTTTTAAACTTCACATAAATTACATTAGAGGCTACGTTTTCCAGCTTATTTCTTATAACTGCTTGCTCTTTTCTTTTCAGATCCATTCATGATTTGGGATGAATTGCAGATAAAGTGCAAAAAAATTCATGATATTGATGTGGGTTGATATGTACTCATAAATGAACTTAACATTTAAACATAACAATTTAATTGGTCTAAAATTAATCAGAAATCCTGTGATGATCCACTCACAGACGTAAGTGATCATGGCTGCAAAATAATTATAATTTTCCTGTTAATAGTTTTTTTGTTAAATTGAATTAAGTGGGGCAAAATAAATGAATAACTTTGACTTAAAATAACGCAAAAATTAATGATTGTATCAATAATATTTTAATATTAGAATGCCTTTTAATCATTTTTCTCGAAATATACAGATATATTATTTAGGTCATGACTGCGTGAGTCACGCTCTGCGAAAATTTTCTGAAACAGTGATGGTGACTACAGTATCTTTTTTATTTTAATATGGAGAGAAATAAAAAACAAAATCTCGGAAATCTAGGGAAAAAAACTGTTTATGCAAGCAAAATTATTAATTTTTTTTCGATAACTCGCTACAGTCTTGTTACAGAGCCTTACGTGGCAAAAATAACAGCTCTGTTATCGAAATATCTAGCAAAAAATTCATATGATCATTGCTTGCTTAGAGTTAATTTTTCTGTTTGAAATCCAATTAAATGTAATCTATGAATATCATTACACTTACCGTGATATAAAATGAAATATTCTACTACTTTTGTTTCATTGTTTCATTTTCTTGGAATTTTGATACACAACTACCGGCCGAAAAGGTAAATATTATTTCAACGTATTTTTCTCATATTAAACTCTAACTTAAGTTTAAAAAAATAAATCCAGCAATATTATTAACATACTTTTAAATAATAATATTAAATATTATCAAATAATATTGTTTGCTAAAATATAAGCATCCTATCAATAATATCAACATACTATTTTTTAGTCAAGAATCTTACGAAACAAATTTTTATTATAAAAAAAAATATATATTTTATGGTAATTTTTTTAAGCAAAGTAAAATCTTTTTAAGCTACACTTGTATTTTGAGAAATCCAAAACTAATAACGACCGAATAATTGAGAAATCAGTTTAAGAAACAGAAATTTATGGTTTGCTGTGTTCTGTTGAAGAAGCAAGACATTTTATTGTCAATAAAATTTAAAATTAGTGCCTAAGGTTGTCAACAGATGCTGCTACTGATTGTTAAACTCATTGCTCATTTCAACAAAAATATTTGCTCCGTTGTCTGCTCCGTTGTACTTACACTGCACTACATTATTACAATAGTAGTTACTTCTATTAGCTGTTTCTTGATTTCACAATTAATTTAAAACTTGGTAAGATCATATAGCTGGCTCGTAAGCCGAAAAGTGCCCAATCCCATGATCCATGTTACCTCAAGTAACTAAGTAAATCGTAATAACAATTGTTTTAACAATCTTATTTTTCTCCAAATCCCTTTTTTTTAAAATCATTTCATATTTTATGTTATTTGAAATAAATTGCTATGTTAAATTTAACAACTTGAAATCGAATGAAAAATATTATTATATTTTATATTATTATATTTTGTATTACTATATATTCACAAATATGCAAACGCGAATTTTTTGTATATATTTTTAATTTTAGCAGAACTAAATTAATTTGGAATTAAGTGTTTTTTGATGAAAAAAATATATTTGAAGGGATTAAAAAATATTTATTTCTCTGAAATTACATATACTGTTGAACATTTAAAAGTAACGCTAAAATCTAAACCAATCAGAATCACGATTGGGTTTCAACATCACCCAGCCTGGCGATCAACCGCGATCACAACTTGGCGAGAATCAAGGGGCACCCTCAAATATAGTCTACCCGGAATATATTATTAAATTGCATAAGAACAGTAGTTTGTAAAGAGAAGCCGATTGCAGATTTGAAATCAGCAACGCGCAAATATTTAACATCCGTTCAAAAACCTCATGCAGCAGAAAAAAAATTGTTCCCCAAAGTTTTCATTAGTTTCAGATTCATATTTATCTACTTCAACGTCCGTCTTGTTTTTTTCAGTCGAAAACAGTTTGATTTATTTTTAAAATTTTAGATTCTTGAATTAAACAAAACTCTTTTTCTAGAACTTGAATCCGATTTAAATAATTTTACGCTAGGTGATAAATGTTATTAGAATGATTTTTTACTGAAATAATTCTTATTTATAATGAAAAAAATAATTGAATAATATTTCTTTAAGTCAATTTCTTTTCCTTTAGATTCTTATATAACTCCAATTTACTATCAGCTTTTTTTGTTGCGTATATCGAAACAGTTCGTTCGCTAACTTTTTAGATTTCCAATTCAGTTTATATTGAAAAATGTGATGCAAAATTATGTGCCAAATTTAATTTATAATAGGTGCCCAAAAATAATCCACAACTAGAAAAATAAGTTAAAGGAAAGTAGATAGACATAGAAAGACGTTTTGCTTAGGAAATTATTAATACGTCTTTTCTTCAAATTTAAATTTTTGTCAAAGTTCTTTAAAAATACATGGCTTTCATGAGATGAGCAGTTTAATTCAAACTGATCTTCTTGAGTGTTAAGTTTATTATTTACTCTTGTTGAAATAAATAGATTTTCTCATTATAAACTAATATTTTGAAAAGAAAAAGTTTCGTGGCGTGGTATAAACTGACTGAATTTAAGCTATCAAGGAAAAAGTTCTCGAGATATAGTGAAATATGCAAAAAGTTATACTAACATTAAGGGGTCCAAATATTGGACCGTTCTTCTGATCAAACAATTGGGACAATATTTCCCTGATTCCTGCAACCACACCCTATATTTAAGGGGTCAGAAATATGAATCTGTTGATAAAAGGGCATGTTTATTCAGAGAAAGAACGTTTTCGTGTTTCATTTCATAACTTAAATTATAGTCTTTACTAAATAATTGCCATAAAGATTGAATGTTAAAATGGGAAGATCCGATCACTAGACAAAAGTTATTCAGGGTGGTCCGTTTATTTTTTTTTTTGCGCACTGTACACATGCATATGCGTGTATAAAAATTTTATTTATTGTCTTCGTCTTGTAATATAATAATCATATTACATTTTCATACAGATGCATGTATTACAAATTTTGATGCCTCTGTTTGTGTTATGCTTTCTGGTGATTATTGTTCAGTGCAAAGAATATGAAAGATTCAAGAGAAGCCCTCAAGACAGTGGACCAGATTCAGAATCATCTATGACAACCGATGGATCAGATTCAGAATCATCTATGACAACCAGTGAGCAACCCACTGACAGTCCAATCCAATTTTTGGTTGCGATTGTAGAACAAGCAGTAAAATTTTATTTCAGAGCAAATTTCGCAGTACCATTAGAAGTGATAAAACTGTTAGAAATGGCATACGAAATGTATATATAGTTTTTATTTAATGTTGGTGTTGTCAAAAATGCAAATAAATGCGTTGTTCTATTTTCTTTTTGCTTGTTTTTACACTGAGAAAAAACGTATGTTCCAAATTACTAGAATATCATGAAATTTACCCTGTTTTGCTGTCTTTGGGAAGACCAAAAACCCTTGACTAAACTATCTACACACTATATGACACACTCTTGACTAAACTATTGGGAAAAATATTTTCCAGATCATGGTTACTCACCATAGTTTGCAGCTCAAAAATACGGGACCATCAAGAAAAAAAGGGTCATTAAACTGTTATTAACTGTCATTAAACTGTTTATTTATTGAACTTTATTAAACTGTTTATTTCATGTGTCAGACTTCCTAGCTTAAACTAATTAGTAAATGCCAATTAATTAGCATATTTAAGGTAAAGACCTCGAACCATTAAGATTGGATCCAACATCGAAATTCGATCAGTAGGTTAAAAGTTATTCAGGATGTTTATTTCTTTTATTTTGCACACTGTACATTATATTTGGTGTAATAAGCTGTTCTTCTGCTAGTAATTTTTACATTCAATGCAACTATGTCCAAGGATTTACGCTGTGATTCATTGCAGCTATGTCCAGTGATTTCGTTTGCGATATTTTGATTCTATCACAATCAGTGTTTATCTATTACTTGTTTGGTTATCACAAATTATATTTTTGTTAAATCAAAATGTTGTCAAGTTACGAATATTATGAAAGGTTTTTATCTTATACTTCATAAAAAGCTGACCAGCCGAAGCAAGATTCCTTAAGAAGTCTGGTAGCAAAATTTCTAAAATAACATTCAAAAACTCACCTCTTTACCTTTCTAAATATTGAAAAGAAATATTTCTGTTAGAAAATGTTTGCGAAAGAATTCTATTCTTAGAATATTAAATTGAATAGGTAAAACAATGAATTTTCTAAAATCTGTGTAGAAATCTTACTGCCAGAGTTTTTTTAATTTCAGGAGGACGCCAGTCATCTCATTTAAAAAGATATTGGAAGTATACTTTCCCCCTAAATTATTAAATGTCGTGGGTGAGCTATTTCTAAGATCTTTCATTATATTGTGGACATTTGCAGGTAACTTGAAAAGAGGAAAGAAAAAAAAATCAATGAAGGACCTGCTTTTCATAAATATGGGTAAATGTTAGAGTAGTGTTCAGGAACTAGAAACGTGTGTTCATTTGATTATCGAGTTTATTCCAGTTATAACAAAGGATTATTTATAAATTAGCTCATTAACGAGCATAGAACTTTAAGGTTGTAGCCAATTCAGTTAGTAAAGATTTGAAAGCCACATCCAAGTTCTCATAAAAATAAATCGTCTTAAATCAAATTATTTTAACCAATTAATTATATTAATTGGTTAAAAATTATATTATTGCATTAAATTATATTATTACTAGAAAAAATGGCACTATTAATCACTAATTAAGTAGTCTAAGGATGATAATTTGCAAAAATTGTGCTTATTATAATTAGCTCATTTATTAACATCGCATCATCCAAATGCACGAATCGAATGTTCTACTCCATAGCCTTGTAATTTTGAACCCAATTCAGAAGACAAGGAAACTCCTGAATCAGTACTCTCAGAGGTATGATTTGTCATGGGAACATAGAGGATTTTGCGACCCGACAGATTTAACGCTCATCAGTCATCATTTACTACACGAGAAGTTTTCGGTCAGCAAGGATCGAAGCCACGTCCTTATGGACATGGGTCTAGTGCCCTGCCAACCAGGCTATCCCGTCCCTGAGGTAAATAACACATTGTTACTATAAGTGTGCAGCCTATAACTAGACAGACACAGCTATTCGTGACAGTCATCCCCACACTTTGATAAATAATTATTGAGAATGAAGCCTGTTAATGAAGCTATGAGGTGTTTTAAATGATCACCTCTGATTATTTCGATACTTTATCAAGCTGTGATATTATCGATTTCGGCACCCTTACTAGTGATGTCAGATAATCGATAGTATTTTTTCTTCCTTTTCTTGGATACCAGTTGGTGACCCTTTTAATGTAGATCCACTTTTCACTATATTTTTTTATAAGAATTGGGAAAAATATACATTAAAAGCGGTCAGTAAGAACACCATGCATACACATTATCTCATAAAAGATATTCCAATCAGTTAATTAACGCACAGTCAGTGATTGGGAGCATTGGAGTGTTCAGTGTTCCATAACTTCATATGAAAGCATGATGTTAACTATTGTTACATTTTAGACGCAGATGGTTAAGGATTGGAGAAAAAAGAAACTGAAAAGTTTTCCTTTTATAACATTTTCGCTTATTCTGTTTATTCTTATCCAGATGTTTATTAACTTTATATTTTAGTGTTGTATGAAGTCCGGTGTAATTTAAGATATCTTACTTTGTTGAGGAAGTTTCTATTTCAGAAAAAATTCTACTTTAAACACAGCCTAAGTTAATTTATGTTTGATGTGCATTGTAAGAGCACTATACAGATTGTTTCTATATACCTCACACTCACATGTCTTCATTTTTCGGACAACAACTAAACTTAAAACTGACTCAGTATAGTAGAAAATTGTCAAAACATTTTTCCAAAATTTGAACTAAAAGAGTTAAGACATATTTCTTAGCTTAAAAATGATTTAAAACGAAGGCTGTCAGATAGCCAGGCGAACGTAAATCGTTTGATTTTAGCCAACAGATATTTCATACAAAAAACTGTCATTTTCCTGCGTGACCTCTATAGTGACGATCATAAACTCATTATGTATTTGATTAATGTATATATTTGTTCGTAAAAATATTTAAATTTTTTAAGTGAATACTTTTTGCAGATAAAGACTAAAAGAAAAGTAGACCTCAAAAATTTTAAAATTGATTATAGTTATTGTAGTTATATTACGCAAATTAAAAATCAAAAGAAACTGATCATTTTAAATTTCCTCTTGACAAATAACTTTGAACTTGACCCTTCCATTAAATATTGAATGATATTGTCTTAAGTAAGTTTAAGCAGAGCTTCTTTAATTATATATATACATAAAAAAACCTCGAATAATTCAACTATTCACCTTTTATGGATAACACAATGTCAAATGATTATGGCATCTGGCATTGAAAAAAAGTATATAAATATTTTTTTAACTTACCTTAAAAAGGACTAGAGGGTTCGAATTTTTTTTTTACTATTGTGAACAAGCAACTTTTATGAACAAACTCTTATGGTTATCCTGGTGAGTCAAATTTTAAGTTAAAGGTTGTGCTTCTCTATGGTTTCTTATTAACAATTCTTAAAAAAAAAGACCACCAGGAAATTTACACAAAAAGAAATCTGCGAAAATGAGACAAAATATCCTGAAGATGAGCAATGTCACGGGAGAGAAAATTATAAGCTCAGAAAGGAGTCCGACAACACTTTTCCTGAAGCAATAAAGATAAAATGGAATGACATTTGAAACTAAGAATTTTCTCGTCGGACAGTAAAGGGATTCACATACACCGAAGAGCCATTACATTATGACCACCCTCCATCTATAACAATGGGCTCGCCCATGTTTTCATGGCTTCTCGCCCAGGAACAATGTTTTCATGGGGCACATTAGGACCCATAACCCTCACAGAACAATCCCTAACGCCTGTAAGCTACTTGAACATAGGTGCAGACCAGGTTCACCCATTCATGGGGCAACAGTTTTTCCTGAGGGGGATGGTGTTTACCAACAGGATAATGCACCATGTCATAAGGGTAAAATCGAATGGATTGGTTCGAGCAACATTCCAGTGACTTTCAAGTCATGTCTTTGCCCCCAAATTTACCTGACCTTAATCCAATAGAGCATTTGTGGTCCAACTTGGGAAACCAAATTCGTACTACCACGCTACCCCCTCGCAATGTGAGGGAATTGTAGGATCAGTTGGTGAGCGCTTGGTACCAGATACCTCAGACTACCTATCAGCACCTTGTGGAATCAATGCAACGGCGGGTGCTAGCAGTTTTGAGGGCTAAAGGTGGTCCTACATGTTATTAGCAGGGTGGTCATAATGTAATGGCTCTTCGGTATATATCACCTCGGAGGGAGATTAGTAAAGGATGATTTGATATCAGTGAAGTATAAGGAATTGGTTTGAAAACTAGGCTACAAAAAACCAATTTTTTAAACCAAGAGCAGAACATTTTGTTATAACAAAAACAAAAATGTTCTAATAGAAAGAATTTTTTTCAAGCAGATGGGGTGGTTGTCAATTTCTAGGCACTTACCTAGCTTCTAGGCAGATGAACCTGCTAGAAACCTAGATGCTGCCTAGAAACCTAGTTAGTTTCTAGGTAGATGAACCTGCTGTGACCTTCGACCTCCTTGCTCTTCCCATTGTGGACAGCTGGAACAAAAAAAGACTGTTTTCCTTGAGAATGGTAAAGAATGTGAGAACAGTAGACGATAAAATAAAATTTAATTACAAATCAGAATTCAGAAAAAAGTAACGATTCCTTTACAATTCTCGTTACAAATACTTGTACTTTTTTCGAAAGAAGTTATGAAAAAACAAGCAAAAGTGCTAAATTTAAAAAGTAACGAAGTACAAGTAAGAGTATGTATTTTTTACTTTTACTTTCATTTCAAGTAACGAAAGTAAAAGTATTGCCCTGGATGTCACTAGGCGTGCCCTACTAAACCCTAAGTACTGTGTAAACTTTCCAGATGAAATCAACTGTTTTTATATTGGTTGATCTGCAGTCAGCTGAAATATAACTACAGAGTTTAAATTTGACTTGCTGATAGGACCATTTTGAATTCCCAATTTTTCAAAAGTTATTGCGATTTTTCCTTTAAATAACAATTATTTGCCTATTTTTTTTCTTTTCAAAAACTCTCGTTTAACTTGATGCCAAAAATAACAAAAAATGAATAAATAAAAAAATAATAGATATTATCAACTTTTTTTTTATTACCGTCGTTGAACAACCGACCCAATTTTGAGTTTACGACTACCGATGTTCAACTCTGTAGCCTTGTAATTTTGAACCCAATCTAGAAGACAAGGGATCAAGTGTTG